GCTATGTTCTAACATGATTAGATTGCATCATTCACTGGGTGAATCGGAAACACTTAGAAGTGGAATTTCAGAGTGAGTCCTGTGTTCTGCATTATGTAGTGTGACAATTGACTTTGAAATATGAGTGTTACAGTGAGGGACTCCAAGTCCAATATTTGTCTTTCGTTTTATGTATTTGTTATTAAACATGAACCTCAGCAGCTGGCACATTGAAATACTTTCACAATTGTTTCACTTGGGTTATTCTACTTTAGAAACTGCCTGTTTGTGGGACATTGCAGTGTGCAAATTGGCTGTCACATTTGTCTTGAAATGCATGGTCACTGCACTTTACAGTATATCCTATGGAGTGCTTTGAAACGTCCTCTGAAAATGAAAGGCGCTATAGCAAATGTAAGTATTATTCTTATAAAAGTGCTTCCTCTATATATTCTTCTTATCACTGAATGAATAATCTTGAGAATAGGTGTCAGCCTGGCTCAGTTGGTAGCACTCTCGTCTGAGGCAGAAGCTTGTGGGTTAAATCCTACATCAGGACATTGAACTCACACAGTTTATGCTGACACTCCACTGCAGTGCTGGGGGTTGCTGCCTTGTAGGAGGTGCCGTCATTCATATGAGTTGTTAAACCAAGATCCTATCTGCCTGTTCAGGTAAACATTAAAGATCCCAGGGTACTATTCAAAAAGAGAAGAGTTTCTCCCCATGTCCTGGCCAACAATCTTTCAAATAAAATTGATTATTCATTTCATGGCTGTTTGTGAGACTTGCTGTGCACAAATTAGCTGTGGTGTTCATTTAAAAAATAAACATTCACTACACATTAGTTTTCTTCCATCTTCTTTATCTTCCCCTCTTTCTAAACTCAGCAACAAGTGGGAACAGTCCATCATTGTTCAGCTTATCGAATTGTCTCATAATCTTAAAACACTTGTATCAGGTTCCTACTCAACCACCTGACTTTCAGAGAGAGAAGTTCCAACAAGACACTGGAAGAAACTTTTCTCTTTTTGAATAGTAGAATAGAATCTTTAACACCCATCTCAACAGGCAGACTGCACCTAAGTTTAATGTCTTACTTGAAGGATAACACCTCCAACAATGCAGCAAGCCCCCAGAAGTGCACTGGAGTATTAGTTTAGACAGTGAGCTGCGGTGAGATTTAAACCCACATCCTTCTGACCTAGAAGAGCTTAGCACTGAACACTAGGAATGCTCATCTTTGCTCTTACCATTTATCATCCATTACATAATTGGGCATTTAGTTGTCTGTACAATAACTTACAATTATTCCTGTCCTCGTGCATCAGCAATCGATTAAAACATCCATGATAATCAATGATTAAATGTGGAAAGGCTTCATCATGTCACCAGTAGATAGAGTAAGACTTTTTGAAAAAGGGATGAAGTGAATAATGCATATTTATTTCATAAATTGGTTAAACAATTTAATTATCTTTCTCTATTACTGAGTGGCAATCGATGAAGAAACTGCACCTTCTAGTAATGTACGATTCAGGGACATCTTTATTCACATATTCTGTGGGTAGTAGTTGTGTATCTTCATGATGTCTGTTCTTCTTTCCTACAAAATATCTTTTCATTAATGATTTAATTTTCTGAGGAAAGGAAATGCATCCTCCCAAACTGAGGTCAGACTGCGTGGGGAGAGAGAAGGGTTGTCACTGTGGAGGCAAGAGAAAGTAATTGGCAGAGTGTGGGAGGAGTGAAAAGGTCTAGCACCGTGGGGGAATCCCTGGGAAGAGAGATGAGGCTATCAATGTGTGGGAAGAGAGGCTGGTACAGTGTAGCTTCAGGAGAACCATAGTAATGGTAACTGTACCACGGTAACAGTAAAACTCCAGGTAGTTAATGCTGTAGATTGTGTTTCACATGATGATCTAATATCTACAATGCCTTTATATTCACATTGGTGCCAGGCACAATCATTATAGATATTGGGTTCACTGTGGTACTGTCATATGAAGTGTGCTCTATTGGTAAATTAAGGGTAATGGTGTTGAAAAACAGAAGTGGCAGTTTTATCTTGAATATCCTAAGATGCCAACTGAGTCTCCAGCATGGAATTCTATATATGTCACACTGACTCCTGAGGCCTAGTCCCTGACTCAAGATTGCTTCAGAACTGAGTGCTGATGGTCTGGTGGGACCTACATGTGGTACCTTACCATCAGAGAGGTGCCAGTAACACAACCACTTTCCTGAATAACATGTTTTCAACTACAGTGTTTTCAATAAAGAGATCCACACATATTTTCCATTTGAACCTCCAGTTATATTGGGGGGAGGGGGGAGGGGATCTCTCCTTGTATCCTTTATTTTGGCAATAAGTGCATAGTGAAGTGGCAACTTTGGTGACCGCTATCCACCAGGGAGTAAACTTACTGATCTGTGGCAGTGTCTGTTTATAATGGGAATTCCCATTCATTGTATGCACAATTGACTGGCAAGCACACAATAATCCCTTTAACATTTGACATGGCAGGAACAATTCATGGTACCTTCACACTTTATATGAGAAAAGCTGCTCCAGGTTTAAAAGGCTTTATCCATCAAAAATGTGACAATTTAAAGAAGCCGTTCACACAAATATGTGTCTCTTTATTAGATTTTGTAAAGTTACATGGAAGTTGTGAGTCACCCTTCTCTTTAAGTAGATACAGTCTCCATGCTGTGAGCTGTGAATATTAACTGATGCTGTGGGGAACAGATAGAAGCTCATTATCTACTCTGATGGGTTTAACCCTTTGATCCTCAAAAGTGCTCATTATGAGGCAAAGATGAGTTGAGAAAGTGGCGTTTTCAACTTGTTTCCGATTCACTCCATACTTAAAATGCTTCAGCCCTCTTACTTTATCTGGGGGACAGTCAAATGGTAACTTAGTAATGCAGAATAGTTCTGAGAGTAGTGGACTCCTCGCCTGGCCATTCAACTTCTCACAAGAAATCACAGCCTTGTGCATTCACAGCTTTCCACCAATATCCTGACTTCTTATGCTCTACTTGATTGCCCACAGTAAGCAAGCTTTACTTGTCAACAATAATGAAAATAATTTTGAGACTTTTTGATAATAAGAATAATAATCTTTATACTTGGCATGGTGCCTTACATATCGAGATGATGTGACAAGGTGTATAAAAGCTTACAGCATTTCAATCTTATTAATCAGTACAGTTCACGTACAGTAAAATGCCCGAACTGAGCTCTAACCAACCTCACATCTATTTAAATGCAGCATACAGCCTGACCCCAAACAAATGTTTAGGCAGCTCTCACTTACATATAACCATAACGTGTCGGGTTCCAGTGTGCATCACAATGTTACTGCAACGCATACAGGACTGAACTCTTTTTATCAGAACAACTGCTGTTTCATATCCATTTTTATCCATTTCTTGCTGTGTTGGCAATACAGCTTACTGCTATATGCATGTGCAGCACATAGGAAGTGGATCCCAACCACCACGTAATACTAGGGTTCCACTGTAATTCAGGAGTGAGATAGAGATCAGAGTAGATTTCAAGGGGATCTGCCGACTACACAACTGAAATCTATCAGTTACAAATCCCTTTGCAAACCTGACATTTTCACATCTCACAATCTCACACCCAACTATCATGATAATAGTATTAAATGGCTTTCACGCTAAATCCAGAACAAAATGAAGCACATCACACTGGCCTTGACCTCCTTTTTAAGAGTGGATCTACTCAAAGCTCATATTTTTATAGAAGGTCAATGTTGAGTACAATGTCGTCTGCAGCATTGTCACATCCTTCCCTGCTGGGTAAGAAAACTGTTGAAGGTAAAAATTCTGTATTCAGTTTTCTCTCTCAGACTAAAAGAGCAGTGAAGGTATCATAATTCCAATAAATCTCTTACACTGAACACACAGACTTTATTGTAACTTGTAACTTTATTGTAACAAAATGCTAGTCAATTTATCCTAGAAATAAAAGCCTGAACAATAGACCTGTTAGTTTGTGATGTGGGTTACATATTATTACTGCATTTCATAGGCATGTTGTACTTGTACATTATATGGAGTCCTGTAGTGGTTAGTTCACTCGCCATGCAAGCGAGTGCAAATCATCCATAGTTAAAAACAAACACCAAGGAAGGAGAGGGATAATCTCCATTCGAATAGATATCAGGCTTGCCGTTGTAAGACCTTACCCTCACTGATTTAGCTAATTAAGCTTAAAGAACTGATAAACTTTGAAAACCAATGAACTGAAGGCTCCAACTTCATTGGAAAGCTTCTGACTAAAATAGGATAAACTAAAAAAAATTGAAGAATACTTAGAGCAAAACGTTGAAACCTAAATACTCCCTTGCCTAAATCAGGTCTAAGCCATTCTTCGGAGAATCTACTTTTTCAATAAATTTGAATGTACAGGACTCTGTGTAAACGTTAGCAGTTCAACACTAATCGCATTTCTGCCAGGAATTTCCCAATGTAATTAAGTTAGCAAATTGCACAGTACTATTGATACAATTGCCCTTAGCCAAATACAATACTTATGTCTACTCCAGCTTGTCAGTGGGGATGGTGACTGCAGCCCGAGGAAAATCACACTTGCAAAGCTCTGATCTCTGAGGGGATTTAGGGCTGTGGAGTTGGACATTATCTGTTTCAGTCCTGGTTGATAAATGGATATTATCACATTTATTATGCAATTGAAGGAATAGATTTTAAGGTGGGATTTAAAAGTGGGGTTTACAGCACAGAGAACCGAGATGGAGTTCCAGTCCACAGCGTGAGTGCAGAATGGTTGAAACCTCACCCATAGACATTATTCTATGTGAAGGACACTATATAAATGCAAGTTCTTGGTGTCAATGAATTAACACTGTCAATTATTACCACATCACAAGTTGATGGGCTTCTGAGCATGTACTGTATCTACCTGATTGATAGCCATTCCTTTACATGCATCGCTTGTCACAGCTCTGTACTCTCTTTTCCTTTTACAGCTTCATTCTGACGCTGACAAAGGAGATGGCACCCTCAAGTACATTCTTTCAGGTGACGGGGCTGGTACTGTGTTCACTATCGATGAAAACACAGGGGACATTCATGCGACAAAGAAAATGGACCGGGAAGAAAGATCTTTTTACGCGCTCCGGGCTCAGGCCATTGAAAGGCGGACTGGTAGGCCTGTCGAGCCAGAATCTGAGTTTATTATCAAAATCCACGACATCAATGACAACGAGCCAAAGTTTTCTAAAGAAACTTATATCACTAACGTACCAGAAATGTCAGACGTTGGTAAGTGCAAAACTGAACCTTGTAATAAAGCAATTGTTAAATCACAGGTATTTCAAAAAGGAGGACCCAGGCCAGCAGAGAACTTTGTTAAATATTGTCAGTGGTTTCAGCTTTTCATAAAAACGTTTACAGTAGCTGATTTTCACCTGAATAGAAGTTTGTCAGAGATGGAGAGTGTGCCACTGTTCCAACTCAGAGTCTGACATTCAGTGTCAGCAACAACTACTTTCAAGACAGATATAATGTGGCTACAGTATAGGATGGACACAGAGTTAAAGCACCCACCATTGTGATCCAACGATGTGCCTTGACCCAATTCTGAATGGGAAGCTAAAATGTCCATTTACCAAAAAAGTCATCTCGAGGGAACTGTCAATTTCAAAACAATTACTGTCAAATTGAACGAAATGAGGCTCTATGATGCTAGGATTTGAACTAATACTTGTCAAGCACATTTCACTTAGCATCCTTATATCCGTCATGAGAGCAGACTCGTCAGTCTAGGGTAAATTCAAATCCAATGTAAGAGAACGTACTTGCCCTCTGTGCCACCCTAACTGCCTTGAGGAAATGCATTTGACAGTAGAATGTAATGCTTAATCATTAAATAACTGTTTTTAGAAAAGCCTCTTCCAGTAGGTGTGACCACAGTATTGACAAACAATACCGCAAAATAATACAAGATTCCTCAAGTTCAGTAAAATATCCTCAAAAAACATGAGGACATTTTTCTTAACCATCTTGTTGTCTCTGATTGTCAGCAATACAGGATAGTATTTTGTCTGCTAGCAACATTGCCAGTGCTGCCTTCTAATTTCTGCTGTATGCAAAATGGCATGTCACATTTTTTGAAAGCCGTCAAATGGCAAAAAAATGCCAGAGAGTGGACCTGAGCTGGATGTTAAGCTCCGTGACTTTTTAATGTACTTTGGTAGCTTTTAGTAATAACAAACGTGCATTTTAAAAATCTCATATATTAGAAGCCAAAACAGAATTTGAATTAGGAGACAAACTAAATTCACAAATAGCCATTCCCACCCTTTGAGAATGTCCTAAATTAGACCCAGTGGCATGATTTCCAAGATGTTTTCAACTTTATCTCAATACTTAGATTTTTATTGGGTTGTTCACATTCTACTCTTCAACCTTCAAATATCCACTCCTACTACTGTCTAGTCAAGATAGTAGACAGCGATTCTCCCAATCCTCTTTGAGTCATTCTCTAGTGTGACCCACTCTTCTGCCATCCTCTGTCCTTCACAGTGCCGTTCTGCCCTGTGCCTCTCCACACTGTGTCAGCCCGGATGAACCTTGTTAAAGATTGGGCAGTCATCTTCTGTGTGCTTTGCCCTTATTTGGGTTTGGTGGAAATCACCAGCAGAGCTCCAGAGTCAGCCTGAGACACATTTGAACACCTGCAGCATTCATTATTTACACATCAGAACCACTGTTATAATATCAAAAGATCACAACCAGCAACAATGAGAACCCACTGAGTGAATAAATAGCCATTTAAAGGCATAATCCAAAAGCATTGATCCAGATGGAAGTAGCGTAGCAGTATCAGAGACTCAGACATAGTGCTGCTGTGCTGCTGCCACAGTTAGACTTCATATCTATTTTTCTGCTTGGGTGTTTTGCTGGTGAGGTTCACAGTCTGATGTTTAAGAAACTAAGTGCCAGTATTCAGGCTCCATTTGTTACCATGTTGACTGGCTCTCTGTTCCTGCCATGACATTGATTGGTTTTACTATGGAGCCAGAATATTTGCCAATGGGACATCGCTACAGCCAAAGGGAGAAACCTATCACCCAAAAAAAAGTTAGCTCAAAATAAATTCTGGTGTAGTTAAACCCTCGTTTATTAGTGCCTAACTTAGAGACCTTAAATTGAACAAGCAAATCAGGGCATTGTGTCCTTGAATACTACAATGCAGTCCATTGAGTATTGAAAGTATCCCAGTGACATAATCAGGCAAGACAGAGAAGCAGACAAAACTGACATTATTATGCCAGGAGCTAAAAGAATGTCCTGTCAATCATGTTCTTTCTTTACTATGTTCTGACTAATAGAATCTAGATAACTTTTCTTTTCGTCCTTCAATTCTCTTCTCTTTTCCCCTGAAAACACTAACTGACGCTAGAGATACAGATCCTGATCCATAGAGCACCTCCAGCACCTCATCCAAATAGCCACTCTTGGTAACTTGTGAGCATTTTGCCCACAAAATACACAGTCAGTTCACTTTACAGTATCTTCTCTGAAGCGCTTTGAGACGTCTCAAAGACGTGATAAGGCGTTCATCAACTGCAAGGATTACTATTATAACTTCAAAATAGCACGAGGAAGGTTCGGGTGAAGGAGGCCCTCCGACACATTTAATCTCATCTTTCCAGAATACCCACTCTACCGTCCTCCCACCACAGCACAGCATCAAGCTGTTGTTTTTAAAAATGAGTCCAACCATTAAGTACCTGTTTGGATAAAGAAATTACTTCCGTCTGTCTTGAAATTTCCCTTTGCAACTCTAAACCTGTGTCCTCTTCCTCTGCTGTATCAGTGCATCCAAAAGTATTTTTCTAGATTTACTTTCTCAAACCCATTTAAAATCTTCTATATCTCTATAAGCTCCACACATCTAGAACAAGGGGACTCAGACACAGCAGAAAAAAGGAGAGAGACAGCTTAGATCTAATTATTACACACACACAGCAATATGAAGTGTTGCTGATCGTGTTAGTAAATTCAAGACGGAATTGAATCAATATTTGGTGAAGAATTCTTTTGAGGGGTGTGGGTAGTGTGAGATTGTTTATTTATTATTGTATTTATTATTTTATTATGTTTCAACTTTTGGGGTCTGGTCAAATGGACTACCATATTTGTTTCCCTGTGCTGTCCATTTTTATATCTTCTATGTATTTATTCATATCTGAGTTCCCACATTAATACTGGTTAAAAAGCCATTGGTTCACCAACGTTCAAATGTGTATCAGGAGTGAAGTTGACAAAACCAGCAGGCATCTCAGTCAATTCTAATCCACACATTTTTCCTCTTAATAGAAAGACAGTATAAGTAATCTTGTCCTCTGATACTGAATGGTATTCTTTATACTGTATTATTGCCATTGTTTACATTTCAAAAGATTTTCAAAGAAGTTATTACCAAATATAAGTATATAATGCCACTTTTCATACTGAGTTCTTCTTACTTAGAATTGTTAATACGAGCTCTGCTTAAGAAGTCATTCTTTTCAATGTTTTTTAGCTTTGATATCAATCAAAAATAATAACTCAAACATCAAAATACACATTACATGTTTTTTAGGCCTATTTCTAAAGCTAGTTGCTGTAAAAACAGGATATGACAGATCCAAATGGAGCTATACAAAAGTTTTTAATTCTCAGTATTGGAATGAGAGAAAAGATTTAACAATCTTGTGCTATTTTTGATGGCGCAAAAATCCTGAAATGTTTAAGCTTCAATGCACTGCACTGATAAGATACCACTTAGTTTTTGGAAATCATAACCAGTCGAGTTAGCATTTGCTGTTGTGTTCTGTGCCATTCCTACTTTTCTGATTTTCATTATTTATTACAAAATGTAGCACGGATTTGCCATTGTGCCATTTAGTTTTACTGACACGTTAGATTACTGCATGTACCAAGGATCCATCTGAATTTATATTATAATTTGCACTTCAACAAAATGATAGATCAACCCATGCTTCGCCAGCTGATGTGTCTGTGAAAGTGATTCACAGTACAAATTTTACTTTAGATTATTTTAATATAGATTATAACATCGCCTACTTGCTAGGCAGGAGCTATGGTTTGCTTGCATGAGAAGGCACATATTGACCAAACCAATTATGTATGCCGACCGCAGACACATTGAAATCGGTCCGCTGAAGAAAATCTATTCAGTGGCAATGGAAAAGCATTCCTCTCAAAAGTCCAAAAGACTGGCACTTTGCCATTGGAAAAATATCAGTCCTACATAAACTGGATTTACTGCAAGTAAACTCCAGTACCTCAGTCCCCTCCCACCTCACATACGTCAGTCCCACCCCCCGATATATTAGACAGTTCTCCTATCCCCCAAGTATGTATGCAAGTTGCCTTCGCATACATACCTCAGTCTCTTCACTATGTACATCAATCAGCTACCCCCCTCCTGAATATACATCAGTCATCCGCTACTATATTTCTCAGTCTCTCTCAGTATTCATGTCAGTCGCCCCCCAGTACGCACATCAGTTGTTTCCCAGCCAGTTGCTCTAGCCTTCCATATATCTCAGTGGCCCCCATATGTACATCATTCTCCCCCATTATGTATGTCAGTTGTCCCCCAGTCACAAGGCGAAGTTAAGGGTCTTTCAAATGTGTTCCAGGTTCAGTGACACTTCAGCTAACGACATGAGGAATGCCTCGCCATTATGTCAAAATATATAACTGAGGAACATCAAGATGTCTTGGGTAACAGTTATACAGCCTCCATCTTATTAGCTTCTATGAACGTATGCAGAGTTCAGTACATTTAGTGGAATTGCACTTATTTAATAAAAAGAGATTTAATGCTGCAATTCAACAATAGCAACCTGTGTAATGTGACTGTGTCAGTGTCCAGATATAATTGTGCCAATAGACCTAAAATGTGTTGTGTGGGAATTAATCTCCACTTGTTGATAAATGTACCCACATTTAGAGTTGTGCACTTGGTTCAGGATACCCTATTATGACCTGTTAATGTTCAACTAGCTTGCATTAGTAAAGTGCATTTCCTTCGGAGCATACTAGGTACAATGATCCAAACTACGCTCCAGCTAGATCTCAGGTCAGAGCTACAATCTCACTAGCTACTTTGAAGTACACTGGGTTCCTTGCCGGAGATGCACTTTATGTCCTGAAATACTATGTCTAGTGCAAGGTGCATTTACACTACCTTTTTCCCGGTTTTTTAATGGGTTTTTTAAACCCCATTGAATGAACAAACACTGAGCTCATAGATCTAACAGCTTATCGGAAGAAGTGTATTGATTTGATTTATGTGGCTCTATTACAGGTGCATCTGTAATGCAAGTTACAGCTTCAGATGCTGATGATCCAACCTATGGGTACAGTGCCAGAGTGGTGTACAGTATTTACAGGGACAGCCCTACTTCTCAGTGGAATCGGATACAGGTCAGTCTGAGGTTTGCTAAGTTATATTTTATGTACTTTTACAGTCATTATGTTTTGGTGTGTACAGAGGTGAAATACAAAGTAGATTCTTCAAATGGTAATGACCTGAACTGTCTGTAATTGTGCCCACAATATAATGTGCTTTCTATTATCACAACTCAGCTCTCTCATGTGGATCAGAAGGGTGTGAACTCCAGACCATGACTTTTTCTTGTCGTGAAGACTGACATTCCAGTGAGGTACTGGGGTTGGCTGTATGATCAAATGTTATACCACGGTTCTATCTGCCTGACTTTATTGATCCCATGGTAGTATTCGAAAAGAGACGGGATGTTTTTCTGAAGTCCTGGACAATAATACTCCAGCACAGTTGATGGTCCAACTACCTTAGAGCTGTTTGTGGGATCTTGCTGGCATAAATGGTTGCAATGTCTGCCTATCATAACAGTGAATAATACTTGAGAATAATTATGCTTGTCCCACTTTGAGTTGTTTTGACATAATAATATAATTCTAGAGTATCAGGTCACCGCTGACATCATTTCCTGCATGCTGCTCAATCACATTACACACAATTAGTGCCACTGACATCACTTCCTTTGCAAAGTGATGTCAGAGAGCTTTCTGCACATGTGTACAATGTGCAGGAACTAGTGTTAGCGATGACCTGATGACCCAGAAGGCAACCATTATTTTAGCATGGGTTGACAGCTAGTCAGTGCCAAACCGAGTGCAGAGTACATCCTTGCTATAAACATACATGTATTAAACCGGGGCCTGTTCTAATAAGAACATTCTGTAAAATATGCAATTTCCTTTTATAAAATTCAAAAATGTCAGGCCTTTGTTTTTTCTATTTCTATAAATCAGAAATACTTATACAATACATCTAACACACAATTGGAGCAAATTCCTTTCATATCTATTTCCCAATTGGTGTCTGATTAACTGAACAAATTAAATATCTGCGGCTCCCGGTGGCACCATGTACTTTAAATCAGGTCACTGTAAATGCAGGCTGTGGCTCACTGAGCAGAGAAAGGTTAACATTCTTGACAATTAAATATGAATTTGAATTTGAATTATCTTTTCTGCTCACTCAGTATTTATAACATTGCTATAAGAACATTTCTATGCAACACATTAGGTAAATTGTAAGCATTCCTCACATTTGAGACACCTGTATATTATTCAGCAAGTTCATGACTCATTGTAAATCAACACTGCTGGAGTTCTTGAATGCATGTTGCCACTCTAGTGATAGAGGAGTTAATATTCGAAAGCAATTGAGGCTGTTTTTGTGACAGAGTAATCTGTCTAGTATTTGAGATAGATCTGCCATGTTAATGATACATATCTCCTATACAAATGAGCCATGTGCTCTTCGTGGATACATTATCTACTATTTACATCTAAAATCACAGGACCGGATCACAGGAACCAATGACCAATTTGTGAAAGTGTCACTTTTCAATCACTTCTATGCGATTTTTTGTCAGCGTTACTGCATGAGGTTTCATGTTGTTCTCCTGTTCGCCAGCCAAATTGCTTAGTTATTACGCTGTTTCAAATACTCTAAACTAACGTGATTTCATGCACAAAATGTGATGGATTAGTCCGAAATGAACAGAAATATGGTACACTTACAGAGCTATAATGTGATTGCTTAGGGTCATTTAGGTTACATTAAGATAATCTCTTCAAAGCCTCAAATATTACTCACTTTATCAAATGTTAGTCATGGGAAGATCAGGAATGATTTAGACTTAATGTCGATCATTGTACTTGATGGCTTTTTATTCATAATGAACAGAGACTGAAAATAAGCTGAGGAATCTAGAGATGAGGGTAGACATGGATCTCAAGCTCATCAGTTTGGGGGATTAGGTGGAAAGGAAAACTAATCGACCCAATTTGAAGATTTGCGCATTCAAATTAGGTGAATTGCTTATTTTTTGGTAAGTAATAAAAACATTGCAAATCCACACACATTTCTACTTTATTCCAGTAGTTTAAGAACTTGGCGAAAACTTGCTGATTACATACAGTTTGCTGCTGATCCTTCTTTGGCTAAATGGACAGTGAGGAGAATAAGACATCAAATCAAATGAAATGTCCAACAGGCTGTGATGGATACATGTCGGCTCATAGCGCAAAACAGCACTTTAATAACATGATGCCGCTGTCTATAGACTCACCTGGAGGCCAGCAGTAGCAACTCTGCCTCAGGAGTCACATGCTACCATTTCCTTAATATGGAATGGGAAGAGCCCTCAGTACATGTCGCCTTGCAGGTTTATTAGGCAAAGTCCAGCTTTCTAATAAATGTTGACTTGTATTCATGCCTTGTTGCAAGTACAAGACGGCACAAGTGTTGCTGTCTGAGCTGTGAGATACAACCCCAGAGTATAAACAGGAATAAACTGCACAACACTTGGAGCTCAGGTTAGCACAGAGAGACTGTCCCATCACTCTCTCCGCAGCAACTGTCTCCAAAAGGCAAACACCCCTTCCCCTTCCCTCATCCATACCCTCTCCAATTCTTCCTGCTCTTCAAACTGCATGGTCACTTCTCCCCCATGACCCCAAATCCTCTCTATATCACTCTCCCCATCACCGCCCCCCACCAGCAAACGTATCCACATTTCCCTCCAAGATGTCCGCTTCCTCTCCAACAAAGCCCTTACTATCCATGACCGCATTCTGAATGAGCACATTGATATTCTTGGGCTTACAGAAACGTGGCTCTTCCCCGGTGACCCTGTCACCCTCGTTTAAGCTTCCCCTTCTGGCTACACTTTCTACCATACCCCCCGCTCCAACCAACGTGGTGGCGGAGTAGCCCTCATTTCCAAAGCTTCCCTCAGTTTATCCTCTTATTCCTCTGGCTGTTTCTAATCATTTGAGCACCTCACCCTCTACCTCCCTCCTCTCTCTTCCTCAAAATCCTCCTAGTTTACCACCCCGCCAAGCTTCCTGGCTCCCTCCTCACCAATATCTCCTCCCTCCTCTCATCCCTGTCCCTCTGCACTGAACATCTGCTTATAATGGGTGATTTCAACCTCCACCTAAACTCCCCTTGCACCACCTCCTCGGATTTCACTGCCCTCCTCTCCTCCCTAAAGCTCATCCTGCACATCAACTTGCTGACCCACAACCATGGCCATTCCCTCGACCCCGTCATCACACATGGCCTTGACATTTCCGACCTTTCTATTATGGACAAGGCCATCTAGGACCACTTCCCCATCTTCCTCTACACCCACGTATTCCTCCCTTTTTCCAAGCCCTCCACCATTTCTTTCTGCCATTGGAAAAAGCTTCCCCCTGAGACGCTCACAAATGTCCGCTTTTCTTCGGACTTCCTCTCTCTCTGGCCCTCCACCCCAGCGATCTTGATGCAGCCATCAAGATGCTGAATGACCATCTCTCCACAACCTTCAATTCCTTGGCTTTCCTGAAATCCAGGATTGTTCCCGCTCCTCCAATACAACAATACAACAGTCACCTCCGCTCACTCAAAACACATACCCGGATGCTCGAGCCCAGATGGCAGAAATCCGGCCTCACGATTCAAGCTGTGGCTTGAGCACCTTTGCACCTACCACCTCTCCCTTTCACAGGCCAAATCTGACTTTTACTTCAAAGTCATCCTGGAAGCAAACAACAATTCATAGACACTGTTTTCCACCATCCATCACCTCCTCCGTGCACCCGCTCAAGCCCCCTCTATCCTCAAATCAAACGCCAAGTGTGAAGAGGTCCTAGACTTCTTCATCTCAAAGATTGAAAACATCCACTTGGCTGCATTGTCCTTCCCCTCTAAGTCCCCTTCCACCCCACCCAGACCATCCACACCGTCTTCCCTCTCTGCCACAGCTCCTGCCACTACCTCCTCCTTACACTCCTTTGCCCCCATTTTTTCCCTCCTTCCTCTCAATCATAATCACCTGCATGAAGTTCACCACTTGCTACCTCGCTCCCTCCCCACCCATCTGCTGGTCACTCAACTCCCCCTCTTCGCCCCCCCCTGCTGGCCGACACGATCAACCAGTTTCTCTCCTCAGGTCCTGTTCCACTCCCCTGAAAACCGCTATTATCACACCCCCTCCTCAAAAAACCCACCTTCGATCCCTCTAATCTCCCACACAACCATTCCATCTCCAACCTACCCTTCCTGCCAAAGTCCTGGATTGTATTGTTGCAGGTCAATTTCTGTCACATCTCTCCCTCCACTCCCTCCTTGAGTCCCTGCAGTCTGGTTTTCGCCCTGCCCACAGCACAAAGACAACGCTTGTCATAGAATCATAGAATTATACAGCACAGAAGATGGCCATTCGGCCCATCGTGTCTGTGCTGGCTCTTTGAACAAGAGCCATCCAATTCAATCCCAAATCCCCGCACACTCCCCATAGCTCTGCAAACTTGTCCTCTCCAAATAATTATCTATTTCTCTCTTAAAAGTTGTTATCAAATTGTTTTCCACTACCCCTTCAGGCAATGTATTCCAGAGTCCGAAGTCACAAACAACATTCTCTCTATCTGTGACTAGGGATCCCTCTGCCTTCTCGTCCTCCTGGATCTCTTCCGCGTTCGACACAGTCGACCACGTCATCCTCCTGCATCGGCTCCTCCCTCATCTACTTTAGTGGGACCGTACTCGCATGGTCGAGTTCTACTTAACCAACCGCCTCCATTTCATCTCAGCAAATGGTTTCTTCTCCCGGCCCCGTCCAATCACCTGGGGGGTACCCCAGGGCTCCATCCTTGCCCTCTTCTTTTCCATATCTATATGCTCCCTGTGGAGGATGTCATCCGCAGACACAGGGTAAACTTGCACATGTATGCAGATGAAACGCAAGTCTACTTTGCCTCCTCCAGTACCAACTCCAGGTCCGCCGATGTCCCTGACCAAGACCGCCTTCTTCCACCTCCGCCACATTGTATCTTACCCCAAATGCAGCCAAAACCCTCGTGCATGCGTTTGTCGCCTCCCGCTT